AGAGTTGTCTGGGAAGATTGTCTTGAGCAACTTTGAGGAACAGCTGTTTTATACAAGAGAAATGTAAATTTACCAGGCTGTCCCAGCTTGCCAGGTTATCTGGGAGGCAGTGGCAGGCCAAATAGGATGGCTTTCCGGTGCTTCATTCTTTTATTCCAAGTTTATCTTCAAATTCACCCCCACCAGACTGACCAGCACCAAGCTGACAGCACCTGCCCCAGTACTGGGAAAGGAGTTACCTTTGTGGAAAGGACACTACAGGTGGCAACTGTAGATGCCTTTTATATTTCCACAGCTCTGTCCCCTGTTGCAGTAAGAACATTTTAACCTTTACTTTGATAGACTACAGCAGCGTGCCCATGTCCTGGAAGGAGTCAGGGGCTTCTCAAGAATTGGGGTGCAGGTTTCTGACAAGCACCTTGGGCCAGGTTAGGAGCCGTTCATGCTAGGTACGGTGGAAAGAAACCTCCTTTGGCACAAAGTGGATAGTTGTTGGAGCATTCACACATTATATTAGGATTAACAATATATGAACAGAACCATCATTTGAATTTCTTATACACGCACTGGTCCCAGTTTGCTGGATGACTTGAAGATTGGGGTAGTATTTACCCTGTGCTGCAGATTGGGGCATATCCCAATATTCAAAAGTCCTCATAATCTGGCTGCCAGCTATATTTTAACCCCCGCTCCCTTGAATTTTCTTTCTTTTTACAATGTTTCCCCAACGTGACTTGGCCCTTTCCATCATTCTACTGCTCGTGGAAATGCAACGTGGATGCCCTCATCTGCCTCGTGCACTGTCTTCCCTTCAATCCCTTCTTACAAACTCTCATGCCCAAGCACCAGAAATTCTTTTCTGTTTCTCATTAATGCTTCCTGTTCTGTTCCTTGCTGGCAGTTTTGACCTTAGTTTTGTTGACTTGTCTAGCTTAACAAGATAACTCTTTGAAGAGTCCTTACCAGTACACCAAAGCATATGTAGCAACCAAATGTGAGGCTCAAGTACATTTATGTGCTTCACAATTTTTTTGCTATTCTTCAAGTAACTAACTGCTTTGATGTTGGTAAGACTCCTAGCAGAGGAAGGTGTAACCCCAAAGAAATATTTTTGCTGGAACTTGCCCCTTCATGATTTTTTTTGCAGCATTTGAACTCCAAAGTACTGTACTTTTTAAAACCCAGCATGGCAAGTCTGCTTTAGGAATGCCACAAGCAGTGATTTCTTGCATTACTGTGGACATTTTGCTTTGAAAAAAAAGCAAAAGCTTCTTTACATGAAAAAGATTAGAGTCACAGGGTTTCAAAATTTAGGTTTAAGCATTTGCACTGAAAAGTCCTAACAGGGAAAATATAGTACTGCAGGGTCCCAAACAAAAAATGCACCTTTTTAACTCTCACTGGTGTAAGACAGGAAAGCAGACCCAAAAGGAGTTTCAGTAAATGTCCAGGCTCTCACTTCTGGCAAAATTCAGACTGTGGTGGCTGAAAGCTCGAGAGGCAGAAGGCTCCGTTCCTTTGTGCCTATCTCCTATTCCTGCTACATTTTGTTTTTCCCTCTGAGGTGTCTGTGTTCCCAGAGGCAGAAAGACAAATGACTCCCTCTGACATCCAGCAGGATTCAGAAGGCAGCTGTTGGGAGGTATGGTGGCAGCTCTCCTCCCTCTCCTGCAGACGTAACTTACCACATCCCTGACACCCTGCACTTTCCAAATTGCCTCTTGAAATCCCCCATTTGGCAGCACGATGCAGTGGAGCTGTGAGGCTGTCAGGGTGAATGTGCATCTCAGCACCAGTGCGAAGCTTGTCCTCATTTTCCTCCAAATCTCCTAAAATTCTTCTGACAAGGGGGTGATGGCCCTCTGCCTTTCATGCATATTCCAGTCCTTGGTTTTGTTTTCTGTCCCTGGAGTCAGAAAATAGAGAATTTTCCCCACTTTAGGAGTCATCCTTCTTTGTGAGAATATGAGCTTCAAAAACATCAGGATATTTCCAAATGCAAGGTCTGTATGTGGAGGGCAACACAAGGTCTCAGGGAACTTCAAGTTTCAGGGTCCTACCTCTTGGCCACATTTAAATGTTTGGTCTTGTAATATGCACTTGTTTGGCTTTTTGTTTTCAGCTCCTGAAGTGCTGGCCCAGAAGCCCTACAGCAAAGCCGTGGACTGCTGGTCCATCGGGGTCATCGCATACATCCTGTGAGTATCTGTTGGGTTTTCAAATCACAGGCAGCTTTGGGACCTGCAGCATGGTCTCCCGCCATATAGTTACCCACTTAGTCAGGGCCAAAAAAGTTAATCTCTGACACTTGTTACCTGGGATGACACAAACCCTGGACACCTCCCACATACGTAAAGGCTGAAATTTGGGCAGAACTGGTAGGAAATGAGCCAGGACCCTTCAAAAGCTAAAATCCTTGCTCCTGCCTAAACTACACTGTATGCAATAGTATGGGCTTGTCCAGGTTGTGATGTTAGTGAACCTATTCCCTCCTCTGCTCAGGTTAGCTTTGACAAGAGACAAATTTGGCCATGTCCACAGAGCACAGCATCATGCCCCCAGGCGTATCCTGAAGCGCCACCTCTCTCAAGGCATCACTCTAATGGCTTTTCTTCGTTCCTTGCGGAGGGCGCAAAGGGAGATAAGGTGGGGGAAGACCTTGTCATGTACTGCAGTGAATTATTCTGATCAAAACGTAATACAAAGTATTGAGAATTTACTGAAAATGAGGGATCATATTTTTTAACACGTCCATCCATCAGGTCACATAGGAGAGGATGACCTGGTTTCTGCCCTGTCAGTTCTGTCACTCTTCCATCAAGCCATTAAGCCTCTGCATTCGTGGCTGAGATTTTCTCCTCTAATGGGGCTAATTGCTGCTCAGAGGATTGGTTGCATGAGAAAGCTACGGGACCAGGACTTCTGTGTATTCTCCAAAGTGGTGGATAGGTCTCAGAACTCATATGTTTATGGAGATTTCGTACCTGTCCTCATTCAGTACCTGCCACTCTTCTTCACAAAGCTTACTAGAATAATTTAGGTTGGAGGGGACCTCAGGAACTCCAGTCCTTGAGGTCATATGAAGTTGCCTAGGGCTTTATCCAGTCAGGTCTTGAAATCCCCTGAAGACAGAGACTGCACAAGGTCAGTGGGCAACCTGTTCCACTGCTTGACTGTCCTCATCAGGAAAAGGTTTTTCCTTATATCCAGGCTTGTCTCCATGAAAGGGGTAGCCAGTACTCTAGATGTGGGTGCACCTTCAGTGCTTGAGCCATAGAAGTAGGTAAACCAACTCCTGTTTCAGGGACAACACTTGGAAGGAGTGGGGAGGTGTCCTGGCCACTGCGGTCACAGGGGTACCCTGGTTCCAGGGGTGTCAAGAGAAGGGCACCCATAACATTTCTGGGCACCATGTTCTGAATCCAGCTCTGTGTGCACGAGCACATGAAAACACTGCTAATATTTGGGTTGTGAGGAAAACGCAGAACTTGTTGTCAGTGAACCTGTAGGAAGATTCCCTCTAGCTTAGGGACCTGTCTTGATGGGGTGGTCTGTGCTCGGGGCTCGAGGTCGTGATTCCATGTATGTCACTCAGATAACAATTGCGTTGGTTGCTTCTGCAGAGTGCGGCAGACTTTGAAGCAGGAGCTATTCACGCGGGTCTTTGAGAGGAGGTCAGGTTGTCACTGTGGGCTGACTCAGGGCGACCACGCAGAGCACAGCAAGCCTGTTCCTTTTGTGCAAGAGAGCACAGAGCTGCTGTGTAGCTGTTGACTGCTGCAGAAACAAATGTCTTTTCATGCCAGCATTACCAGTGCTTTCCCTTTTTTTTTGTTTTCCCCTTTACACAACTGTCACAGTTATACAAGGCTGAAGGAAAAAGCAGCTCCAACGAGGCACAGCATTAAAGCATTCCTACTTTGTTCCCTTTCTCCTTATGCAAACATTTTACGGCTTGTCAACATGAATAGCTTTTTGATGGTGTAATAGAACTATTTTTGCCAGAACACACCTCATTGCTGTATTATCCACTTTGTGCAATGTTCATTATTTACATTTTCATTTAGTCTTGAGCATAAGTTATATGCTACCCAAAACAGTTTATTTTTATGAGGATAGTATAGGAAGACTTTGTTTGTTTGCACATATGTTTATTTATTTGAAAAAAAGTCCTGCCTAAAAACATCAGCTTTATGACTGGCTTTCCAATCTACATGAATATTTGAAAACTTGTTGAATACTAAACTTTCAGGAGGGATGGATTTATTTTGGAACAACCATCAATAGCAGGATGCAAAAAACTTTTGCATAACAAAGCAAAAATCGACAGTGCCGATTCTGACTTTGTGGCAAAGCCCAGCAGGACAGGCTACAGCAGTGAGGAAGACAGCAGATGTTCCAAAATACTTCAGGGTCTGCTTCACACATCATTCCCTAATGTTCTCTTAGATGAGGATGGTGTGTGCTGACCCAAACTTGTCATCTCCCACAAGCAAACCTGAGCATGGAAGGTCTAGGGGTTGGCGTTTTTTGATGCTTTTAGTCCTTGCCAGCCAGGGCGGGACAATCAGGTAGAGTCTTTTCTGTTGCTTTCATAGTACTTTGCTGAATACCAGCTTCAGAGAGCAGGAGGAAGGAGGATGCAGGTTCAAGACAGAAGTGCACTGCCTGACTTCAAGGCTCAACCACTGCCCAGGTTCAGTTTATTGTCAAATATTCAACGTGAAAATATGTGTCCATCTGGCAGACCACAAGAAGGGCATCTATTGCATCCTGGTTGCCTGGAGATAGAATTGGCTCTGCTTTTCTCTAAGTTTTCAGTCTTGTTCAACCATGCCTCATGCACCGGAGGTCTTTTTAGCTGGCAGATTTGTTATTTCACTTGTTGCTTTTGCGCATCCTGTTGAGGAATATGGATGAGGCAGTGCTAAGCAATGTGTCCTCCACCACTCAGTTAATGAGCACATCTTTGATAGGTAGAAGGTTTCAATCTCATCCATAAGCCTCCCCCTCCTTCCTCAGCAAGGCAGCTCTTTCTGCAAGGTTCAGTTCAGTCGTTTCCTGCTCTGTTTTCCAAATCAGCATGTGCTGGGCTTGTCAAGAAAGGTGTACACACTCCTCAAATCTAAATTCCCCATTTGCTGGATGGGGAATTCCCAACCCTGAAGGCTTAAATCAGTTTAGTAAGAACGAGTCCCTAGGAATTCTTGTTTGCAGGACAAGGAAACCTTTTCAGGGTTTCTGCGCTTCAGGTAATAAGGACTTGATTTGTATTCTGTACAGTCAAAATGAATGTCAATAACATGTTGCCATAGAAGGAGCGTGGTAATGTGTTTGCCAGACTGCTACTGCTTGGGTGGGATTGGGTCTGAGATCAAACCACCTCCTTGAATATTTTGGCATGTGAGCTACATCCTTCAGCTCCTGTTACCATCAGCAGCACTCCAGGGCTTCACTTTTGTTACCCTAACATAGGTGCTTCATGCTGTTTCAGTCACCTACAGTGTCCCGTCTAGTCTCAAGCAGTGGCTGCAGTACAGTCCAGCGCCCCCCCCAGCATACCTGCCAGCCAGGGACAAGGGTCCTATGCAGCTTCTCCAAGTGGCACTGGGCTCTACATGTGGGCACCTCAACCCACCCTGTGTCGATGCAAGCAGTCATTTCACCAGAACGTGCTGTTCCGTTGCCTAAACATATGCGTTTAGTGCCATCCTGGGGGGTCCAGGACAGCCACATGGATTAGGCAAGTTTAGCGCACTGCAGAGACCTTCCTTCTGGAGTGGCAGATGGAAGCCGAGTGGGAGACCATGGACCGGGCTGAATAGCACCAGATGCCGACGTTGAGGATACTGGCTCACACCCTGCTCTGTACTTGGCCTCTGCCTTCACAGTATGGTTTCATCTGCTTTACGGTACATTTGCATCAATCTCCAGTCTCCATTGATTCCATCTCTGTTGACTGCAATGGGAGCCTAGAAACCCAGCCCACATCTTATGTGACCTAATCTTGAACTGGATCTCATCTTTGCTTCCAGGAATAGCCAGAAACTGCAGACATGGCCTCGTAAGATGGATGTCAGGGGTACAGTAAAGACAGAGAGGAAGAGGGGTCCTTCCCTAAACTGGAAGGAAGTAGCCTGGCTGGGGTGTCTGATACCACCAGTGATGGGCACAGGTTTAACAGCTAGGTGTGGTGTCTCAGCAGTGCCACACCGCTGGAGGTGGCAGAGCCAGCATGTTCACAGTGCGGCATGGTGCTGAGATGCCACAAGCACCAGCAGCATAGCCACCCTGGTGCAATGCTTGTAGTTCATCCTGCCCTGAGCAGGGTCCAATGTATCACCACATCTGTCCAGATATGCCATTTCCAGCTTCGCAGTCAGCACAGCTGGAGCTACTTGCACATGCCCAAACCAGTCAGAGACATATTTATGCATAGGGCAATCCAAGCACATCATCCTGTGTCACCTCCCCACCTTTCCCACGAATCCTCACAGCCACTCTGAACAGGCTGTTGTCGTTTAAGAAGATGGAAACTCAGGGGAATCCAACACAGAAGCCAGGCATAAATTAAAGATGCTTTGAGCTATTATTGCTGTAAGTGGTTTGAGTGCCTCCAGACACAAGCTCAGTCGCACATGAGAGCCTTCAGTTTATGACACTGGAAGAACAAACTGTTTCTGTGGCACCGATGCTCTAGACTAATATTTGTTCTGTGATATGGAAGGTGAAGGATGTCTTAGGAAAGAATACCTTTGTTTCAGTGCCAGTCTCTAATGTTTCTCGTTAATGACAGCCAGATTGCAGAGGCTGCACCAGCGGAGTTTTTATCAAAACCTGTTTTGCATGAGAAGTCATTATTCACACGAACTAATTTTAGCAGCCTGAAATTTCCTGTTATTCTAGTTGCAACATTTCTCAATTTGAAACAGCCTCGCTGTTGAGCTCAGCTTTCTGCTTATCACAAGGTAGTTTTGATATGTCTTCAGCTTAAAAACATAAAGCATAAGAAGAGCAAGAGACGACTGGATTCCCAGCAGCTGGATTTTGGACCTGTCTGGGTCACATGAGGGGTTACAAAAGCTTGGAGAGCTAAAACACTGATTGCATGCATACCTGATGTAGAGGAGATTACCTTAATTTATGCAAAAAATAGAAAAACACATTCCAAAGCTGGAAAAGCACCCAGGGCCACAGAATGCTCTTCCTCAGCCCCTGGTTATTCATACTCAACACCTTCTGTCTCCTCTGCATTTGGCTGAACACATTTTGCCCTGAGGTTTCTTCTGATTCTGTTCATTGGTGGGGACAAGAGAATTACTGGTTTGTTACCATTATTTATAAACAAAGATTATCTGGAGATAAATCTTGGATCATACTCTTTCCTGTACTTCTTTGCTGTTTAGTTGCTTTTCATTTTCAAGTAGATGTGCATGAAATGATGAATGGTATTTGTAGGGAAGGATTAACCGGGGACAGTACAAAGTTTGTTATTCCAGAACAAATTTCCACCACTGTCCTGGAGTCATACCTTGGGAAAAGCTAGTCAGGCATCTCACCTGCTAAGCATCGCACATACGCCTAAGCAAGAAAGCGGGGAATAATTTTTGTGTTTGGTATTAGAAGGAGAATTAGTGGAGGTAAAATGTACACGGGCATGTTGTATTGCTCAGAATAACACAGTTCAACACTGGGAAAACAATCCCAAATGATTGCTCTTCATTGCTTGCTTCGTAATTTATTTTTTATTCCCCATGCTAATATGTCCTTGTCCACAGTTTCATGAGGGCACCAGTGTCAGCCGCTATGAGGGTCTGTTCCCAAAGCAAGAAGAAATGCATGTGTTTATTCCTATAAATAGTGCTTGGATTACTTCCCACACCACACATCTCAGGTCTTTGAGCATTTACTGAATTCTTTGCTCTAATCTCACTATAAAATTTTTTGTAAAACTAACCCCAGTGCCTCTCATGTCGCAGGTTGTACACTGACCATGCAAATGAGTTATTTAGCCTTTAATGTCACCCTCAATATGTAATGGGAGCTTGCATGGATTTTCTTTCTCTGTCTGTTGAGGATAAGATGTTCCTGGTATTCCTCTTGTGCTCTCCTGGTGGCTTCTAGAAAGGACTTCTGGCAATATCTTTCTTTTGTTCATCCACCTGTGTTTTTCTTATCTGCATCCCACTCTTTTTAAGGCAAGACTGGGAATAGGAGGTTAAGGGAAAATCTGTTGCTTATGTGATAAGGTTGTTAACTAATTCTGAAAAGCTTTTATTTGGTGAAACTGCAAGAAAATGATGACAACTAATAGCTGCCTGACGTTCCCCCAGGACAATGCAGGATTTTTTCACATTGAAGACAGAAGAGTTATTTTTGTATTCCTGCATATCTAAAGAAAAGCAGCAGAACCTCTGATAGTGAGGTCATTTTTTTCACACAGAAATGTCCCAGCAGATGGAAATTAAGTCAGTGAGGTTTTGATTCTATAAGAATTAAATAAAAACTTATTATGGACTTTGGATGGTGGCCCAGTTGCTGGAAGTCCAGCAAGATTTCCTCCAGCCATAAATGGCACATCGGGGTAATTTACTGGGGCTTTCCCATCCATTATTGCAAAGCCAGTAACGTTAAAACATTAAAGTAAGTAATGTTAAAACTTCTATGTCTTCCTAAACTCTGATTTTAAGGAAAAGAACAGCAAGACAGCCTGTATTTCAGCTCCTGGCCCCTTCCTGTGCCAGGATTCCCTGGTGTTGCCCCGCTATATGCCACCTCCTCTGACCTAAGGAGTTTGTTCCCTTCTCACATGCTTTCTGTTATAAGTCCTCAATGATTTGTCTCTTGGAGGAACATCCTTGGGTCCCTCTTTGGAGGAGGTTCATCCCCATCCCTGGCTGAGCCAGGACCAGCCCTTGCCCTGCGCTCAGCCTGCTCTCAGCCAGGGGGATGGTTTGAAGCGATATCCCTGCCCATGTAATAGCGACTAACACCTCTCGAGCTCTCACTAGCAAGGGAAAATTAGTGCCAAAAAAGACTCTTTTCTGCCCTGTACACAGCTCCCAGCGGATCTGGTATCTTTCTGCATAACGCTGGCTCTCCTGGTGTGTCAGCCCTCCCAGCGATGGGCTGCGATGACCTCCCAGACATAGAGGCAGATACCCCAGACGTGTAGATACTCAAGCCATGCAGAGGAGCAGGGGAGGAGCTGGATGTGTGTAGGGAAGCAATTGAAAGGCTCTGGAGAGGCTGAGGCTGTTGCTGGGGTTCGTGTCTCTCTGCTCCCCCCCTTTGCAGGGTTATAGCCCTCCAGCTCTGTGCTGCTCAGCAGTTCGCTCCTACCTTTTGCTGCCATGAGCGTGTATAAATCACATCAGCCCTAACTTGTGCTCTTGTACCTTTGCCAAGGTAATTAGTACAGTGCACAATTTAAGAGAGTTATTTCTCTCTCTGGAGCAGCCTGCCAGCACCTCGGCATGCGCAGAGCTGTCTGCTCCCCTTAAAATGCTTTATCAGAGCAGTTTGGTTTTGTTTAAGGAAAGTGCTGAGGAAGGCAAGAAATTAATGAAGGGCTGTCAGGCTTCTTATACGGAGCCCGGTGAGTCCCCCAGGGAAGAGGGACAGAGCGATGGCTCCAAGTGCCTTCAGAGGAGCCGTTTTCCTCCAGCCTTGGCATCTCTACCCCAGTGGCCATCCTAACAGCTGCAGCGCTGGGGCTGTCAACTCCAGCCTTGCCAAACCCTGCAGTAAAGCACCCAACATCTTGAGGATTGTGACAAAAGCAAAGGAAGTTGAAAATCAGTTTGTGTGCATCCCCGTCCCAAGACTGTGGGACCTGGGCATTGATATTTATTACATTAAAGCAAGTTATATAAAAGTTCTTCATAGATATCTGTAGAGCTGGATTCTGATTGTGGATCCAGTTTCTGCATTAGGTTACCAGATGTTTTTCCTTCATTATCCAGGTGGATAGTGGCTTTTTGGCATTTGCTTAAATTGCTTTCATTGCTTTTAATGGCCCTTCTCATACACCGCTTCCACCACTGGGTTTCACATAGGAGTTGCTGCATCAAGCCCTATACACAAGCACGTGCCCATTAAGTAGGTGTGCAGTCCCCCTCTGAACTTAAAGGCTTGTCTGGCACAGGGTTATCATCTGACTTGCTTTTGATAATGGCAGTCATCCAGTGGGACACAAAGGAGGACTGGCTCATCTGCCTGGCAAGATAAAGAGAGAGATTTCTGATTCAGTTGACCCACAGTGGATTCATTATAACCCTGGAAATTGCAGCAGGATTATTCCAGGTCCATAGGGATCTGACACAGATCAACATCACACTTGGCATTTAAATTATTTATCAAATACACTGACTCTTCAGAGCTAATAAAACATTGCTCCTTTCACCCTCACGTGTTGAGTTGGTTCAAATAACCTCCAGGGTAGCCGGCTGGCTTTGGGTTATAAATAACCTGAGCATTTCATTTCTTACAGTTCCCCCCACCCTTGCTCTGTTGTTGCTAGAGTGTAGTGTTTCAGCCTGTTTATAATGGCTGTCTCTCTCCAATTAAATGCTTTATTGAGGTTGATTGACTCGGGATTTAAGAAAACTGTAGGAAAAAGATCATTTCAATATCGGCGCAGTATGTGAAAGAACAATTTACACTGTAGACTAGAGATAACAGACAAAAAATGGGACATCTCTATAGAGGAACAGTAGAGGCAGAAATGCATGTTTAGCTGTGAGCAGGATGGGTTTGCTAAAACCTTGGACCAGCCTCAGAGGTACATCTGACACTTTGCAACCTTGGTATAAAAACTTGAAGAAGGGGTATCTTTGCTGGCGTGTCTGCACAGAGGGGGACAGGCTACTGCATGCAGCATCGGTGGGATGTGAGGGATCTCTGACACATGAGTTTTGTCGCTGCATTTGCTTAACACGGTGCCAGATGTGGTTTTCCCATGCCTGCAGTGCTGGAGGAGCCCTGCCTCAGCGGAGCGACTGTCCTGCTGTCTGCAGCACTGGGAAGGTGCATCCGCAGTGTTTTAGCTCAAACTAGGCAAATAATGTTCAGCATCCTTCTTGTTCTGGGGCTAGGTTTTCTGAGAAGTCTGGTTATAAATACTGAAAACCAGGACAGGACTGTTGTTAGCCTTAGGCAAGGTAGGCAATTTGATGTGGGCAGCAAAATCACTTGTAGGAGTGAGCAAGGGAGACGCTCTCCGTGTGTCTCCGCAACAGCAGCAGGTCCATGTGCAGCCCGTGCAGGCTCTGCTGCAGAGGTAGAGTGACTCCCAGATGTCCTCCTTGTTGTGCCCGGGGCAGCAGAGCCCAGCACAACCTGCTGATGCATCCTGCCCTCTGCCTGATAGCTCTGTGGGGCTCCTTGTCCTGCTTTGCACCAGCTCTTCCTCCCTTTGTGCTGGGAGAAGAAGTCCATGCAGGTGGCCGATAGTTCTCCAGATGTACAACAAACCTTTCTATACAGCTATGGTCTCTTGCACTACATAGAGACCACAAGTTGTGCTCAAAGCCCATCCTGATGCCATGCAGGTGGCTGAGGAAGTGTTGTCACCTCTTGTATGTCCTTGGTTCCCAGGGCTCTGCTGTGCCCACATCTCTGCAGAGCCACTGCACTGCCCCTCTGCCATCTGTGAGAGAGTAAAGCCAGTGCAAGTGGCTTGTGTAAGGTGTTGGGTGAGAACAGTCCAGAAGGACAACCAGAGCAGTGAAGCCAGTATGGAGAAGACTCTTGGATGGGGAATGGTTGTGCTGAGGGATGAGAGGGACTGGTGCTCTGTGGATGTAGGGTGCAGCCTATGAAAGCTCCTCTTGCCACATCTATAGGAGAGGATGTCAGGCTTCATGGCAGTGTAACTAAACACCCAGAAGCATGTAGAGGGAGGCCAGGATATCTGCCTGAGTCAGTGCAGGATCAACAGCACCAGGTTTCCATGCAGAATTCCTCTTTGTCCAGGATGGTACAAATCTCCAGAATTGGGTTTATGTGTCCCTGAACAAACTTCTGTCATAGTAGTGCTTTCCTGCTTGAAAACTTATTGGGGCAAGTCTTAAACAAGAGATTCTCCTTCTCCCTCCCTCTTTCTCACCTTTTTGGCCAACACTGGTCTGAGGGTCATGTGTCTCTTTTCTTGTTTTCTGTTAGGCTCTGTGGGTATCCCCCTTTCTATGATGAAAACGACTCCAAACTCTTTGAGCAGATCCTTAAGGCGGAGTATGAGTTTGACTCTCCATATTGGGATGACATCTCCGAGTCTGGTAAGAAACTATTGGTCATTTAATTGCAACAACCGTGCATGCATGCCTGCCTGTCACAGATACCCTTCACTAGGTGTGAGAATGCACCCCCCATCATGTGTGGAGCTCCTTTTAATGGAAGACCATTGAGAATGTGCATTTACTTTAGCTCAAATAGTTACAGGAGGTTATTTCTGCAGGAGAGCAAATTAAGTACCAATTTGTTCAGTCACACATGGAGCGCTAAAGCATAGTTGGAACAGAAGATGAAGATAGCAGAATGCTGTCCCAGGAAGGCAAATCAGTTTAACTTCATCATATCCAAAGAAAATGCAGATGGTTTATGTGTCACTAATAATAAGAAGGCAAACGAGTTCGGTTCTGTTATTAAAACTATACTGCAGGTCCGAAGTGAGTCTGCAGTGTATACAGCAAAGACAAACCCAAGAAATTAATGGTTTCCAAGTGAGGTGGGTAAGCAGATTCAGAAACTGGGAGTACTGTCCGCATGGTTGGATCCAGGTAGCTGCTTACCCAGTTCCCCAGCCAGTGCAGAAGCCATTAATCCATAGCTCTGGTCAGTCTGGGAGAGAAGCAGATATACTACCCTGTTACAGCAGGCAAACATGCCTAAAGGCTTCTGGCTCCATCACACCTCATGACCTGCCAGCATCGGTAGCTATAGGTGACAGCAGGGACACGTTCAGCATTGCAGCCTGCGTGTGCCACTGAGGTGCTGTGTGGTCTCCAAGAGGTCACGCAAGCTCAGTGTCTTTGCCCTGTCCAAACTGGGAGAATGCCTGCTGTTTCATGCAGGAGAAGAAATTAATTTGAGGAACATTTTATCAGACAGAAGTGCAGCTTTCTGGTTCATTAGTACTCCTGATTAAGCCAGGGGACATGTAAAAAGAATTGTTTTATTTTACAGATGATTATATATCCTGTTATCTCCACATAGAACAACATTTCATGCTGCTTACATCTGCAGTCCAGATATCATTGTGATGGATTGCTTAAAAATATATGTGATGAGAAGCTTTTGTAAGCCCATAAGGGTTTTCTGAGAAAATATGAAGTTCTGCTGGCAGACCCCTTTGCATTTTGGGGGAAAGTACATCACCTAAATCAGCACAAAGGTTTTCCTGCCATATTTGGCTTTGCTGTAGCTCCTTCAGCTACTTTCTCCTGAAATTACTGGATGCACGCCATGCTGCAGTCTCCCTTCCCTCCATTATAGCGTCAATTAAAAACACACTGCTTCATGCCCAAGGGAGTCCATTTTCCTTGGTAACATAGTTTTAAATTCACAACACGTCCTCCCAGCTGTCCATGTGTGTGATTGCTTGGAATAAGAAGCAATGATGAGAAGCTCCTCTCATTGTAGCATCTGACCTTCTCCTTGCCTTTCCCACCCAGTTTACCAGCATCTCCAACAGATGTGGCTGCATTCAGACCACTGTGATGATCAGAGGCACTTGACTGACCAGGGAGCTGAGAGCTGGGAGGCTTGAACTCTGCAGACTCTGAGTTATCCATTTCACTCCTAAACGTACTTGCAGGAGTAGACATATTCAGCTTTTACTTGCCATACTAAATAGCTTGGATGTAGTCCCAAGTCATTTTGGTGATATCTATATTAATAAATGACAAATGACCCAGGGCCGTTTTCTGGTGCTGTGGCCAGATGGCACTTGGTAGCCTGGTCAATGCTGTTGGCTGATCATCCTGTAGCAGAACTGGGCATCAACCCTATTGCTTTGAATTATCCCCTCTTTTTTTTTTTTTTTTTTTACAGCTAAAGACTTCATTCGAAATTTGATGGAGAAGGACCCTAATAAAAGATATACCTGTGAGCAAGCAGCACGGCACCCTTGGTAAGCAACAATCACTGCTCTGTGAAACCCTCAGGACAGAGCATCGTTTTACATTCATGGATGGAAGTGGTTTTTCTGTCACATAGTATACTAACCTCTACTAAATAACTCTGTGCTTTTATTCTTACAACCCCCGCCTTTGTGCTCCAGATTTTCCTGGAAAACCATGATGGGCTTTAATCTCATGCACCAACCTGTTGAGTATCTGTATAAGGATTCAGTAAAATGCTGAATTGTGTATGTTTGCTGTAGTGTAGCAGTAGGATATGCCAAAATGATTGAACCCAAAATCATATTTTAGGGCAAAAGGTCAAATTCTGCAGGTGTGCAGAAAGCTGGATATCAACCTGCTCATGACGTCCTTGCCAAAGTAATATCAGAGCACTTAAGAGCATCCCATGAAATAGGAGGTCCTCATTTGTGCTTCACAGATGATAGTCCACCTCCTGCTTGCAGTAAGGAGCCAGTTTCACATGCCGTTTACCCTCTCTTGTTGAATGGAAGACACAGGAAACCCTAGAGAGGGATAAGCTGAGTCTGAATTGTCTATAGCAATGCTATCTCTCTGCAGTGACTACAGAAAAGTACCTGGTCTGACTGTTTTCATAATTTAGACCTCTGTTAAGTGATTTAAATTAGATAATGCCTTGCACATGGATGACTTCACTAACGTTACCCAAGGATTATGTAGCTGAAACAAGAATGGCTCGTGGACTTTTGACCAACCCTGAGTGACTGAGCATCACCCCACACTGTCAGCTGCAGACAAAAATGGCCTTTGGGTGTAAGTCTTTTAGGGCAAGGATCGTTATATATGAAGTGAGGTATTATTTTGGTTGCTGTAATAGCTGCAACAGAGAGGAGTCAATGGCACGACATTTTCACCCCAGGTGTGCATTAGACTGTGTTTTTATGCTATCACAGTTACCACAAATGTCATTTCCTTTTGCAGTTTCTGGTGCGCTGGATGGATAAGAGCATTAGCCTGTGCATTTGCAGGGGAACAGAAGGTTTTCCTTAGCGTCCATAGCCCCTCAGAAAAGCCACCGAGCCAGTGTCATAACTAGCTCAACAGCTTGATGGACCACAAAACCATCCTGGTGATGCAATTTGAGCCCAGGAATCAGCCTTGAGTAGTGTAGTTAAGTATAAAACACATGAAGTATTAAAGCACAGGCACAGAAGTTGTCAGTGAGTTTTAAGGTAGCACTGGTTTCTGCTGGGAGTTGGAGGCATTCATTCAGAGGATGGAGTCTGCATCCCTCTGAGGATGGGGAGCTTTATCAGCGGGGCTCTGATCACCTCCACTTCCTCAGCAGGCATGGGGTTTGGACACACTCCTTGACCTTTCTATCTCTGAAGGGGAGGAGCCTGGTACCCCATTTCAAATGGTGTTAAATTTCAAAGCAGAGTAAAACTTACAGCTGTAGCTCTAGAACAAATACTTCAGTTTGACTTCAAGGGGTTTATTCTCCTTTCCCTGACTCTCCCTGGTTTGTCTCATCTCACTGCTGCTCTCAATCCTGGGACTAGATGGAAAGTAAATCCTTTCAAAGGCTTTTACCTTTCTGCGTTACTTGCTGATAAAGTTTTATCAATACACAGGCTGATGAATTACCCCCATCATTAGTTAACAATTTGGCACTCATGAAGGTGTTCAGTAAGCTATGATTACATAAGTGGTAGAAATACAGTGAAATGGCACTGATTTCTTCATAGTGAGAATGACATACCAATGTCTGACTGCAGATTGTCAGTCGCTGTGATTACAAATCAGGCTGAAGATAAGATTGAGGATCAGCCTTTACAATTAAAAAGTTTTAGGAAGGGTTTGGGATGCAGAAGGCAATGTAAATCACTGAGAAAAGCAAGGTTCTTGCTTTTCTTCCTCCATGTCAATGACAATGAGACACATTTTACAGGTGGTTTTTAGCTGCACCAGTGGCTGGCATCAATACAGAGGTGAGGACAAGTCAAGACCTGGGCCTGCTCTTTTTCCAATGTCCCATCAATAACTGCATTGTCTGTGTGACAAAAAGGAAATTTGGGAAATGAAATCCAGCTTTTGTGAGATGAAAAAAATATAATACATCTCTAAATTATACTGACCTGAGCCTCAGGAAATTAAACAAGTTGCAAAAGTCAATATTAGAAATACAGAATAAACAATGGGAATGCAACTCCCATCAGAGAATGAGGTGATCATTTGTATAACTCAGAGACAGATTTTCCAAAGCCTTACATCCAAGATACACAAAACATAAGCGTCCAGCTCTTGGCCCCACTGCATCTGTGTTGGTTGCTGGAGTGCAACAAAGAAACGTGGCACTTGTAAGACACACAGCTTCTGGGCCCTCCTAAAGGAACAAAATGATAAAAAGTGTTTTCATTCCTTTTTTTCTTCTTTTTTTTTCTTTTGCATGTCATGGCCATGAGCCAATGGAAACTCACAGACTGCTCCATAATTTTTTATATCTTCTACAGAATCCAATCTTCCATTTAAAAACAACCCCCCAAAAAGGGCTCTCCCCCATTTCTGTGGCAGGGGGTTGTCTTCTGCCAGGTTGACTTTGCAAGGCAGTGGTTCATTTGTGGGGCTACCTCCCAACCATGTAAAGCGTGGCTCAGGGTCAGACTTCAAGATGTCAGTCATGCAAGTGGCACCACAGTAGGGAGGGTTAAAATATTCACCATGTTTCCATACCTCATCCCAAATCCACCTCCCCTTGAAATAGAGACAATATGTGCCAGTGGATTAAAAAGCACAAGGACAGTTGTACAGTGAAAGCAAAGTCTGGAGGGTTCCAAAGATATGGCTTCAGATCTGCCTCTGTCCTTCCCAGTAAGCTCTTCAGCAAAACTCTATATCTCACTCCTCCTTGCTCTGGAAAGCTTCATGTAACATAAATGTTGCAGTTATGGACCTCTCTGGAGAGTGGTGCAGTGATTTTTTGGAGGGTTTGAATCCTGTAGTGATAAATGCTCGTAAAATGCCTCTTCAGATAATCAAGGCTACTCACCCGGATATTATCTGTTATTTCAGAGTTAGTGCTAGGATCTCCTTTTGCCAAGCCATTGCTCAAGAAGCATTTTCCACCCAGATTGCTTACTCCAGGAAATAATGAGGTTTTTACTGCTTCTTTTCTCATTCTAGCCGTTATATCTGTTGCAATGGCATCCTCCCCTCCTCTTTGAGGGAGGGAAGGCCTTTTCAGTGGAGGAGAAGGAGAGTTGTCTGCTTCCTCTCAATAGTCAGCTATGTCCTTCACTCAGGCTGGACATAATTAAGTTTCCAACAAGTCCAGGCTTAAGTTATTCTCTTTCATGCATTACGGTAGATTGAGATTAGGTATTAGGAAGAAATTCGTTACTGTGAGGGTGGTGAGGCACTGGCCTAGGTTGCCCACAGAAGTTGTGGCTGCCCCATCCCTGGAGGTGTTCAAGGCCAGGCTGGATGGGGCTTTGAGCAACCTGGGCTGGTGGGAGGTGTTCCTGCACATGGCAGGGGGATTGGAATGAGATGATCTTTAAGGTCCCTTCCAACTCTAACCATTCTATGATAGTATGGTTGCATTCGGTGTTGCAACAGAGATAAGTGTGCAAGCATTCAGCTATTGTAACTTTTATGATGGGGGCATCCTGTACCACCTTTTCATATGAGCGTGTATTTTTCAGCATACTTCCATTAGCAGCCTCACCTTCCATAGTGTCTACATAGCGTTGTCTTCTCTGTGTGATCAAAAGTAATGAGGTACGTGAGATTACTGGCTTAGTGGAAAGGAATGGCCAGAGCAGACTTCAAGTGGTCCCATAAATGATACACTCTTGCAGAGTCCTTACTCTTCAAGTAGGCCTTAATGGCATCCCACAAAAGGTATTTTTTTGTCTGCAGGATTGTTTCTGTAGAGCAAGGTAACCGGAGAAGCATCTTTGAACCCTCTAATTTGCACGAAGTTAAATCCTGACTCCACTGAGGTTAATGGGATTTTTGCCACTGACTTCAGTGAGAGTCGGGGTTTGGCTCCTTGTCTCTACAGGTGAACACAGAACATCTACCCGGGTCACTGGTGCTGTGCAAACGGTAGTTTTAGTATATACAATGAGGTAGCTCCATGTAATGGCATTTTCTAGCTTTCCCTTTTTCTTCTTCCTGTGAAACCTTTTCCTGCAGTATCAGATCATTGGGATCAGCCACAAGTAAGAAATCTATCAAATCATGAATACTTAACACATACACTGTGATCTGGTTCTGATAAAAATAGTTAACTGTGCATGAGATGGCTACCTGGCCGTGAGATTTTCTTGTTGCAATATATAATATTTGTGAAGAACAAACTGATTCCAAAATAAACCTCTTTTTTTAATTACCATCATTTTATTAAAATCTTCCAAATAAGGCTTGGAAGAACTGGGTCTTGCAAGATATTACATTTGTGCCTTTAAGGTTAATAATCTCTTAGAATTTCGGGAAACTGCTCAAGAATAACCAGCTATTCACATGATTAAATGTTTGTACAGGATCAGACCCTAAAAAAAGTAAATACTTCTTCCCAATGGCCCACTTTTCTCTGCTGTATCTGCTCCCCACATGCCTGCATTTACGTGATGTTTTGCTATTTATAATCAAACGGCCTTGGCAGGGGGACGGTATGTTAAACTCGGAGTTGGCAGAAACGGAGGCTAATAATTGCGGTGAAGTATGGTAGCTGAAACAGTACAATATGTAAGACTTGTTGGTATAATGATTACACCCCAGCCTGTACAATCTGTCCATTTATACAGATTTCTCCAGTTTAATATACAGGTGACTTATGCTTTCCATTGGAAAAGTTATTTATTTTATAGCGTATCTTTCACTGAGTTTTGCACCGTTTATGGTGTGTTGCCAAGGTGCAATGTTCTGCTTAGTTGTTCCACTGTGACTTTTCAAAAAGAACGTGGAAAATTAAGGTAACAAAAGAGCGGGGTAATTTTGCTGAAGCTTCATACATTTTAATGTT